TTCTTTGAAACTGAGCTAAATGCAGTGACAGACAGATATACAAAAGATGAATATAACAAACACATTATGCACGGCCATATTGATGGTGGGGCATAAAAATACTGCTTCTATTGTTAATTCACCTATGCAACTGGACTTTTCACAAATGGAACAAATGGTTCTGAACAAAAAAAAAAAAAAAAAAAAAAACCAAAAAAAAAAAAACCTATGTTCTAAAATCAATGCTAACAACAGAATCCATTATTACATATTTTCAGAATTATGTTATGAGCACTAAGTACCAAACACAAAACAGAGAACTAATGTCAAACGAGATTTTGATTCATTTATTTTTCTCCTTGTCAAGATAATTTAAGACACATCACCTCTTCACAGAGAAGTTGATTCTTAAAACACATAGACTAGACAACTCTACAATTTTCTATAAATAGAACAAAAGCACTAGAAACACATTCATGCCACATAATGACACAAGAAAATGGGATTAAAATAATGTACATACAATAAATAATCATACTCATTATCACAATTGGCAAAAAAATCATACTTCAATACAACTGAACAGTTCTATTGTTCTTAATCAAAAGAGAGCACTTACTTCTCAATTATGGGATAATACTGTGTTTGACATACAATCTTATTAATCTTTCAATTCATAAAAAAAAATCCAAAAGGAATCTGAATTTTGTAATTATTTTTCCATGTAAAATTATTCTCTACATCATATTTTGACCGGTTAAACCAAATTCATAATCATTGTACATGAGAGTTTCTTTCCAAATACCATTTGAGTGTGAAATTTGTCATTCACAATGACTAAACAACAAAGAAATCCACTGGAAAACAAGTTTGAAAAAAAGACTTTGAATATTAAACAAAATATTTTCTCCACAAAAACTATTGTGCAATAAAATATATAGCAACATAAACAACAACTAATAACAAACATCTCTATACTTTGTACAGCCATAGGACAAAATAACACTTTTCTGGAGAAAAAAAAAATCTGACTTCAAGTCAACAAAACATTTGATTGATACACAATATGGTAAAGATTAAAAATGGACAGTACTCCTGCAGATTTCTGATGTGGACTGAGAGGGTGTGTTAAACCCTTGATAACTGAGGTAGCACTTGATAACTTGTTCATCACCACTGCAATGAAATGATACAAAACAGAAAAAAAATACAAAATCCTAAGAAGAACGTGTAATTATGTACCTGACATTTAACTAATCTCACAACACTTTTACATTGTGACAATAATGATGTTTCAACCTGCAAGACAGTCTTGCATTTAAAATTCTATGGCTTATTGCACAATCTGTTTTAAACTATTGCCTTCATCAGCATTTGCATAATTCTACATTGATTAAATCAGAATAAAGATATACAGACCTACTTATCATCAGTGATGTACAATGATGCATTATGATCAAGTCAGAACAGTTTGTGAGACTGGAGAAAATGAGATTGCAGCAATAAAACATTGAGACAAAATGAGACAAAATATTTATTACTGTGACAACAAAATTGTAGAAGTTAAAAGGACCTTTCTGGATACCTCTTTTACCATCCATATATACATCAACCATTGTCTTGTACAGAAAAAAAACCTCCATCTATACACTTCTCAATAGCACCATAAAACTTTCATAAACAAACAGATTTGGAAGAAAAACTTTGCAAGGTGTCTGGGTACATAAAATTAATTGCTTTATGAAATACAGATAAAATATCAAAAGGATAATTCATAGAAGAGAGCTCAACTCTTTTTTTTTTAATTCTGAGAACACACAAGAGAACACCAAGTACAGACAAACACAAAGAACTAGAACTGTCCAAAATGGACAAATACCCCCAATGGGTTTTTCAGAAAAGGTACCAAGTCATTGAAAGTATACTTTAGGGATCTAGAGGTGTTCACAATTTGTTAACACTGACACTGAAAGTTAATTGCTCATTGTATTTTTTATTTATGAATGATGAACTAAACCACAGCCTAATGAAACATCGAAATACTAATCATTTTATTGTTTTTATTAGATTGTAAAACTTAACAGCAACCATCCATAATCATTGTGAGACATAACTCTGCAATTTGTTTGTTGAAATATTGGTACTGTTTAAGATTTAAATTAGTACTGTTTAAGATTTAAATTAGTACTGTTTAAGATTTAAATTGGTACTGTTTAAGATTTAAATTAATACTGTTTAAGATTTAAATTGGTACCGTTTAAGATTTACGTATAAGAAAATAAAATAATCATATCAGATTATACAGTATCAAATTAATCTTGATAACTTTATATCAAGTAAATTTAGAAAATAAAGGGCTAGCCATCAAGTAACTATGCATCTAAATTTGACAGACACTATTAATTTAGAGACCAAATCCTGAATTCTTCCCAATTCCCAAGAGATATAAATAACACATATTTGATGAAAGATGATCTAACAGAAATAATTAAGACAGCCTTCCTACATTGAACTCAATAATCAATATTTAACTGGACAGACTTGTCAAATTGCTCCTTGCATGTCCAACTCATTACTCCCATGGGATAAATGGATTTACATCAACTGCTATGTGTTGCACTAAGTCTGTTCTTGTACTAATATAATATGCATATTTATGTCATTACTGTTAAATACAAAGATTTTTTTGAAATTTGTTATAAAGCTGTATATCATAAAAAATGTGTAACATTTTAAATAAGGTTACTGCATAACTATTACATTTGAAGTAACTATCTTCCTTTTAATCCTTCGTCTTTTTTTTTTTTTTTTTTTCAAAGTTTTAGTGACCTGGTTTTAAGCTGTAATTCACATTTCTCTACAGATACACCAACTGGCAGTTTCTTGATTCTATGTCTCAAATCTACATGAACTCAAAATGACCAATATAAAAATGAAAAAAAAAAAAAAATGAAGAAAACTAGAACTGTCCAAAAGGGACAAATACCCCCCGCTGGGTTTTTTTAGAGAAGGTGCCAAATTACTAATACTTTATGGATCTAAGTGGTTATATTCACAATTTTCTTATAAACATTTAGAGTAAAAATATAATTGCTCATTATATTTTTTAAATGAATGAAACTAAGGTGCAACCTAATAAAATAGCAACACTAATACATTGTAATTACTTTGTTTTTTAATACATTGCAACTATCTTTCATCTTTGTGGGACTTGACACTGAAATTGATTGTTGGAAAAAAAAACCAACATACATGTATTATACAAAATCAAATTAATCTTGGTAACTTTATATCAAATTTATTTTAAAAATAAAAGGCTGGTCAGTACTTTGACAGACAATAAATTACAATTAAGAGAATTAGAGAACAGAAATCTTTAATTCTTTTGCCAAATTCCCAGGAGATATAGATAACACCTGCTTGATCAGAGATGCCCTAACAACTTCCCACACTGAACTCATTAATTAATCTTTAACTGGATGCATGTCCACTCATTACTCCCAAAGGACAAATAGATTTACACTATCTGCTGTGTAATGTAAAAACTGTTTTTAATACCTGATGATGTTTTTTTTTAGTTTTAATGAGTAGTTTTAAGCTGTAGTTCACATTTTTGTACACTTCAGATGTTCTAGATTCCTTAGACATTTATAAACCCATAATGACTAAGCCAATAAAAATGAAAAAAAAAAAAACATCTGTAAAATGCAGAAAAATTATCAAATAATGTTGAAAATACCAGGTGTACATCTTCATATGGTAAATAATGAGTGTACAAATTTTCATACAAATCTATGCAATAGCCTCTGAGAACAGGTCCGGACAAAACCACACAATAAAAATGAAAAAACACCTGTAAAATGCAGAAAAATTATCCAATCATGATGAAAAAACCAGGTGCACACCTTCATATGGTGAATAATAAGTGTACAAATTTTCAGACAAATCCTTGCAATAGTTTCCGAGAAACGGCCTGGACAAAATCTCGTCTACAGACAGACGGACAGACAGACGGACATGGTGATTCCAATATACCCCCCCTAAACTTCGTTTGCGGGGGGTATAAAAATGTCCAATCATGATGACAATACTACATGCACATGATGAGTAATGAGTGGACATTTTTAGACAAATCCATGCAGTAGTCTCCTAGAACATGTCCAGACAAAATCATGTGTCTACAGACGGACATGCCAATGCCAATATACCCCTCCAAACATTGTTTGCAGGAGGTTTAACAAACTGAAATGCAGACAAATAATAAACCATGCCACTGACATTTTTTTGGGGGGGGGGGGGGGGATACAGAAATTAAAAAAAAAACTATAAAGTAAATCTACAATCACAATACTGGACAAGCATACCTTTAGTATTCATGATATCAATTTTTGTGTGAGGATTAATTAAGTAATCATGACTCTACTGCACAAAATAGAAGAAAAAAATAACTTGAAGAAGGAACGGACTGTTTTAAAACTACAAACCATGGGGATCTCTGACATGATATGGATGTTTTCATACATTTCTCATTCTTGGCATTGTATTGGCATGGCTGATGAAAATATGAGAGCAGAAAAACCCAAAGTTATATGTAAAAACTAAATTTCCTTTCTTGTGCATTCAATTTTTGCTACTAAATATGTTGTAAAATAACCCCAAACAGATTTGTTTTAAACCATATCATTCACAGATGCCTCACATACAAAGTATGACAGTTGACATTGGTCCCAAACACATATAACCACTGGAATAGCTACCTCAATCATAAACCAAACCTTTCCTTGATTAAATACATAAGTTTTTTCTTTCCTTTATAAACTAATTTCATATTCTCTATCAGTTGTGCAAATTGAATGTGTCCATCATGAGCTAGTAGAAAAGTTTCCCTTGCTTTACCGAGGAAGTCTATAAAGTCACCATAGTGACGCGGGCTTATGTGAGTCAGTTTTGAATGGGTTGTGGCAATGTAGGCATGAATTGTGGCATCCATTAATTTCCTGAGAGGGTCTTTGTCATACGACAAGTGTTTTATTGCACGGCGTTTGCCATCAGTGCTCCCTAGCCCTGGGGCAGTCAGTGTACACCGTCTTAGTACGTCTGATAACACATTGGCACAGTGAACGTTATCTGTCAACAATGGAATCATGTTTGAAAGTTCATTCTTTCCCAGATTGTGGCTGAGTGCACAGGCCCAGTGAATGTCATTGATTGCTGGGTGAGTATCATGATTATAAGACAGTTTGAGATTTTTCATGGCCAGCAATGCTAGCTTGTATGCTCGATTGGGGTAACCCCTGTGTTCCATGTACCGGGCGATGTTGAACAATTGGCTGGAATTCATGATGTGAGCAGCTGCATCAATGACTATTTGATAGGCAGTTTCAAAGGCAATTGGATCTTTTTCACAGAGTGTCAGGGCACAAAGTGCGCAGTTTTGCGGATCTTTGGTGGCACATTGGAGTGCAAGTTTTCTTGCATGATTGGCCAGCTCTTCCTGTTGATGGAAATTAACATTTAACTGCATCATGGTGCTGCGAGACATAATGTTAGTAGCAACCATACTAGTTGCCTCTATGGGTTGAAAGAGCTGGAACCAGTTTAGCATTATTGAGATGAGAGCCTTGATGCCAACCTCCATGGCACAAGTCACCAGCCATCGAACCATTTCCCTCCTCCTCCAATTCATTGTCATAAGTGTCATCCTCATCACCTATAAACACCAATATAGCAAGAAATAGTTAAATCATTTTGAACTTTAATTCCAAAGAAAATCAAGAAATATTCTGCTACATTAAAATGTGTCTCCCCTTCATATTTAATGAATCATTCATCAAGATCCAACATAAGACATACCCACAAATCATAAATTAAGGTTAAATTTATCAAAGTTCTGGCAAGAAGAACATTACTCTATGAAATAAACTTCTTTCCATGAATGTCAAGATTGTATGATGGTCTTATTGGTATGGGACACATTAACACACCCACATGCCAACAATAATAGGTAAGGATGTCAGTGAAATATTCTAGTTAGTTGACACTTTTCTAGTTCGTTGACACTTTTGACTATCACTTAAAATTCACTATTCTCTTATATGTGACTTGAAAAACCTTGAGATTAAAAAAAAAATGTTTCAAAGGAATTGCCATTTGATGTCTTAAGCCATCATATGCATCATATGCTAGATTTTCATGTGGATGATGACTGCTGATCATTACCTGCATACCTAACAAAGATGTTGACCTTAAATGTCAGCATGATATATTCAAATGTTCAAGACTCCATGACGTTTAATAAGCACATGCGCGGATCTAGAGGGGGGTTGGGGGTGGTCCTGGACCCCCCCTGAAATTAGCACAGTAATTAAAAGTACATACAGAAGCAAATAAAAAAATGACTTTGGAACCCCCCCACCCCCACCCCCCTTAGAAAACGTGGACCCCACCATCACTACAATGGTAAAGGTGTTTTTCACATTTAAGAAATGGATTTTATGCTTTGTTTTTGTTTGCTTGTCAAGAAACTTTTGGGTTGGATTTCTTTTTGACTGGAATGGAACCCCCCTGGAAAAAATTCCTGGATCTGCACCTAAAACAAAACATACATACATCAATATTAGCGATAATTAGCCATTATTCTACTACTGTAACAGTTATTGCTGAGATCAAAGAATGCCACGGACATTATTCTCCAATAAATCATGAACGTCATCAAAAAATTAGATCAGAAACACATATCAAACCTGCACAGTTGAAATGAATATTTCACTGTAGAATATAATACTTATTTAAACCATATTGATGTGTCGCCTTCTGTACTCTAAAGAGTGCGTATTAACTAAAACAGCTGCTAAATGTCAGTTTTTATAGCTAAGTTGGGCTGTTCCATGGACCTCCCCACAACATTTACACTCTATGATTTTACTGATAAAGCAATGAAAAAGACAACTGATTTTGTAATTTTACATTCATAAAAATTATGATTTTGTAATTTTACATTCATAAAAATTAATCAATATATGTTACAAACAAATTTATAAATAAAGGATATTTTTAACCCAACAAAAGCTCAAATTGTCTGCATTCTATGCAATCCATACACAAGTAAACAAAGAAATTGCCCTTCTGGATTAAAATGTAACAGCATAATGGTGACCTAATTCGTTTCTCTATAGAGGAAATGCCCAGTCTTATTTTATAGCTGCTAGCAAAATAAAGTCCTTATTGTGGTGAATGATGCAGGATTACCTCCGAGGTCAAGAAATCTTGTTTGAAATATAAAAGCCTCGGCTAATGCCTCGCCTTTTATATTTCAAACAACATTTCTCAACCTCAGAGGTTATCCAGCAACATTCATGAAAACGCGGGCTTTATTTCTTAAATATTTCTGATTTAAAACCAATAAGTGTGAGAATTTAATTAATATTTTATTTTTTGTCATGTTTTATATTAGGTTTATATGATTAATGTTACAAACTGTTGTCAGTGTATTTTTAAAAAAAAAAAATTATTATTTATTTATTATGTTTATAATCAATTTGTTACTTTAAGAAATTAAATAGCAATTTAGGTAATAAAATAATTATTTTATGGCATCTCAGGAAACGGTATAATTGTTGTCCTTTGATATTGGGGAAGACCTGGGAATCTGCTATCCTTGGCCTTTGGCCATGTTTCCCAGGTCTTTCCTACTACCTCGTGACAACAGTCTGACTGTTTCCTTCATGTCATGAAATAAGTGTAAATTATGTATGGACTGTCCTCCTGTGTAGATGGTATACATTGTCTACCTGTACTGGGTTCAAGTGAAACATGCATTTTGTTGACCCCTTACACCAAACTGTTTACAATAAAGTCAATAAATGTTTTGTAATACCTTTTACTCTTTATTTTGTCATATCAATAAATATTTTTTTATACCTTTTTTTTTTATATTTTATCATATCTTGTGCTGCATTCAATGTTTGCGATAACTGAAAAGATATAGCTGATCCTGCCTACAGTGTGACAAAACAAAACATCATAGTGGTCCAATATCTCATTGACAGGTCCAATATCTAATTTTTTTGTACCACTCAGTAAAACTTTGGAAAGGTTAGACTTTTTTTGGCATAGATTTATATTGGAAACAATTTTTAAAGGTATAACAATATAATTTGTTTACCTGTATAGATGGTATGAATTGTCTATACATGTTCTGATCAGTAGAATACCAAGTCATCATCTACGACTGAAAATCTAGCGTATGAGGAAGGTATGGGTGTAATGATAAGACTGAAACATTGGATTTATTATGATACACTGAAACATTTGATTTATTATGATACACTGAAACTGTATCATGATTTTTATCATGATACTTCACCTTTTTATAATTTTCTATATAAAATCCCTATGTGTTCTGAAAGAGGAAACTACCTATCAAGGGCAGAACAGATTTTAAAGCATTCTGTTCATGACACTTACTTGTAGTCCAAGTTCAAATGCAGCATTCAAGGCAGGCATGTGTTTAGGAGCATCTGCTGGGGTGGCTATTTTGAAGACATCTTGTGCAAGCTTGAACAACTGAGATGAACTATGAATATGTTTCTGTGCCACCTCTAATACGGTTTTCAATCTACCAATATCTTCTGTAATGAAAAAAAAAACCAAGTGAACATGAATGAATATTAAAGCCCCAACCTATAATTTAGTCCTCATAAAATAATCTCACATATGGCTGGGACAATCTAAATAAAGCATCACAGAAATTATAATCACCAACTGTAATTATGATTTCCATATTTAGAATTTTCCAAATGGCATCAGTTACCATAGAAAGAAATGAAATATGCAAATTTTTTATTTCATTATTCTCAGTAACTGCCAAGCCAATCTTTCTGAAACTTTAAATGATTTTTTCTTGCATCATGTCAAAATGGTTTCTGCCAAAAAACACTGTTCAGGTCAGTTCAGGGTGACAGTACAATCATTGCTGTTTTTTTTTTTAGGTCAATAGGATGATTTAGCCACCTGAGCTGTACAGTATTCATTGAGCCCAAAGGGCAAAGTGAATATTGTCAACTTTTCATAACCAATTCTATCTATTTAGAAGTTCTTGATCTATTTCTGGTCCATTGCAGAGAAAAATAAATGTTACACTAACCTGAAAACTTGGGGTGTAGTTGAATATAACTTTTCATAAACAAGAGGCCCATAGGCTACATTGCTTACCTTGATAACTTTCACTACAGAAAAGCAGATATTAGTTCATAATGAAAAGTTTACATATATAAGTGGTCCCAACCTATTCCCAGGAGGTTATGGTTTGAACAAACTTGAATATACACTACCTGAGGATGCTTCCATATAAATATGACTAATTATGGTTTTGCTGTTCTTGAGAAGAATATTTTTAAAAATAATTCCTATACATTCTTATGTATAACTTTGATCCCCTGTTGTGGCCTTACCCTATCCCTGTGGGTCATGATTTGAACAAAATAGAATCTACAGTATGTAATGAAGCTTTCACATAAGTTTCTGGTCCAGGTTTTTGAGGAGAAGATTTTTGAAAGAGGGCTTTAATTTTCACTAATTCTTAATTGTCTCTCTTTAAAAGACGGCCCTTCATTTGAACAAACTAGAATCCCCTTCATCCAAAGATGCTTTGTGGCAAGTTTGGTTGAAATTGGCCCAGTGGATCTGAAGAAGATGAAAATGTGAAAAGTTAACGACAATGACAACAACGACAGACAAATTTGATCAGAAAAGCTCACTTGAGCCTTTGGCTAGTATCAATTTGGACGTTTTCAATCTATTTTAGTCCAATGTAGAAAAATAAAATGTTATGTTTACCTGGAACATTTCTTGCAGGTGAACATAACTTAGTATGACTTCTAGAATGTTGGATCTCAGCCAATGTAAGATCTTAGCAAAGTATCTAATTCTCTGGTTTTTAAAATTATGTTTTTCAGTGTGTGCCAACAGGATTTAGTCCAATTTACACAATTTCAGGTCTCTTCGACTAGGCTAGTAGGAAACAGATCAGCAAGGTATCTCAATTGGTGTGGTTAAGACTGGAGCCATATGCATCAACTTAAGTTTATTTTCCTCACTAGAAACATGTCCACATAGCATCATTGTTCTTCTATCGCCCAAATTTGTATAGTAAAATCAAGAAGTATGTAAAGGAAGCTCAACGTCACAGAATTTAGTGATGATTTATAAATGCTCCCATGTAGATTTATCTTGGCAAAAAAAATTGTGTGAAAAGATCCTTTTCCATATAAAATTACTAGATGAACACAAAACACACAACTTCAAAGTAAATGCAAATAAGCTTAACACAGAAAAATTCTGGGTAAGATATTTTTACCCAAATAAGATGCTTTGGAATGAACTTATTTTGTATAATGCTTTACAATATTCAGGAAAATGAGAATGAGAAATTCAGATCACAAACAGGTGAAGGTCATTTAAGTCCGGCAAAATTAAGGGGTAACAGCAACAGTTTTATTTTTACTGTAGCTCTATAGCATTTTCAATGAATAAACCAACAGCCCTGGAACCTAAAGACTGGGCCCATGGGATATGACTTCAAGGATTTTGGTGAAGGGTTATGCACTCACTGTAATCATTTAGTTTGTTTGTCTACTAGATGTCTTTTAAGAAAAGAGGAAGATTTTCAATGACATAATAAATTTTCAATATATGACCAACTTAGCCAAAGTCTAGGGTCTGAACCATGGGCTAGGGAGAATATGAATTTCAACAGTTTTATAAAAGGTTGTGTGTATATTATAATCATGTAAACAGCTTGCCATGAGTAGAGAGGATTTTCAAAGACATAAATGATTTTTAATGAATAACCAATTACTTATATAAACATGGACCCAGGAGCCATGAATTCCACAAATTTGGTAAAGGGTTAAGTATCTACTGTAATCATGCAAACACTTTTATAGCTAGAAGTCCATGAGTATAGAAAATGTTCAAAGATGTATTTTCAATTTATGACCAACTTAGCCCAACCCTCAGGCCTGAACAATGGTCAGAGGCCACAAATTTACTATTTTTGTAAAGGCCTTATTTCTTATCATAATCATGGAAACATTTCTGATTGTATGATATAATGCATTTTCAACTTGCCCCATCCTGGAGCCTAATCTCAGGGGGCCATGAATTTTATGATATTTATACAGGGGTCATTGTTTTACATAATCATGCCAGCATTTTCCCTGCTAAATGTCCAGGAGTAAAGAAAATTGCTTAAATTATGATGGTTTTGGCCCCACCCCTCAGACACCATGAAATGCAACCATGAAGAAATCGTGAAATTAAGAATTTTTGTTCTCCTTCAACCAAATATGCTATATAATAAAATTAAAATTTGTTTAGCGGTTCCCGAGAAGAACATGAAAATCTTTGAAAGTGAATAGAAGATGCACAATCAACGACGATGGACAAAATCCAATAACAATATTGAGGTCACCAAAGTGACTCATATGACTTAATTACAAATTCAATGGCTGTTTACAGAATCTCTTAATATTCACACATTAAACATCACATATGATCTTTGAATAATTTCCAGTGCCTTCTCCTACACCTTAATAACTTCTAACTCTCGATACAATTTTTTTGCTCCTCTTGTTAACCGACCTTTCGCTGCAGCCAGTAGGGTACATGCCAGTTCACACTGTTGTCCCTCAATGTGACCAAGAATGAACCAGCGTGGGAAACGACTCAGCATGGCTGAGCCAATATTGTTAATTCCATCATCAACATCTTCTGTGTCCTCCAACACTGGTAATCTATAAAATATACACCACTTTGTCAATAATCAAGCTTGCACATTGTTGGATATCTTGTGTACAAAAAAGGCAGTCCAGAAAATTCTATGTAAAGATGACCTGAGAGAAGTTCGTGGGACTGTGGGACCTGAGAGAAGTTTGTGGGACTGTGGAACCCAAGAGAAGTTTGTGGGATTGTGGAATCTGAGAGAAGTTCGTGGAACTGTGGGACCCGAGAAAAGTTTGTGGGACTGTGGTACCCGAGAGAAGTTCGTGGGACTGTGGGACCCGAGAGAAGGTCGTGGGATTGAAGAACCTGAGAGAAGGTCGTGGGACTGTGGTAAACTTCAAGTGATCAAGAGTCAGAGTTTTCAAGTGTCAGGAAATTTTCAGGTTGCTTGACTGGTTTTAAAATCAGACTAAGGAGAGATTATTCTCTTTCATAACAGTGCTAAAATTATACAGGTACCTAACAATGATATGAATTTTTTTTTTAGGTATACAGTGGCGTCGCGTTTATCCGGACGCCATTTATCCGGACGCTTCACCATCCGGATGATATTTTTTAGGAACCGATTTTTTCCACGTTATTTTGTCTCATTAATCCGGAAATTCGCGTTCCGTATCCTGACGGTCAATTTCTACTACAAAACACAATAGTTCATTGAAAAATGACTCGTTTATCCAGACGGTAATTTTTCAAGAAACGACATTTTCACACTTATCTTGCATTCAGGTTTATTGTTGTAAAAACATTGGCCATGCGGTCAGTTTGAAGGCGGTTACCTGTGACCTACAAACAATAGCGTCTATAATTAGCGTGTGTTTACCCCAATTCAATCACACGTTTATCTTTATTATGAAGCTCAAAGAATTTAGCTGACACTGTGCATTATTTAAATAATAATCCGTTCAAAATCATCTTGCTAACCGTATATACATCAGTAAATTCAGGAGAATTTTGGAGAGTTATAAATAAAATGAACAATAAATAACGAGCGATTTCGTAATTATTTTTATTTTGCTCTCTATCATGTCGATTGCGTTAGTTTAAGTTACGATGTTCCATTTCTAAAAAACGTTAATGTATTTGAAACCTTTTTTTCCCCACAAGACAGTATAGAAAGGTACATAATTGAAGAAATATCTCTATTTAATGTACTACCGTTTACAAACGTCCATTACTTATAAAATTGGCGTTACGTATAGAAGTTGATTACGTTTTTCAAGGTATTTTTTAATGATCAAAATTCAAACTTAGCGTCTGTAGAAAAAAATAATATTGATAATCATGAAGATGGCTTGTGTTTACGAATGTTTTTAACACTTTGTTTGAGTTAGCTTGCAGTGTTCAGTTAATTTTATAGTAACCCTGTGTAATGAATATACGGGGAATATACAGGGTTAGTTTATATTTGAACATTTTCAATGATGATGCTGAACAGTTCTGTCATAGCATATGAGCTTCAATAACTATAATATATGGCAAAATAAAACAACAGTAGATCAAAATTTGCTTAACCCATGAAGTCACATGCCAAAGAGAAGGCGAATTAAAAAAGGAGGTCTCGGCATAAAATTGCCCATCCATTTCTTTTTTAATATTGTGTAAATTACATTTTAATATATTTTTTCATTAATCAATTACTGCTTTTAAAACAATTAACCAAAATATAATTTAAAAGTTTTTTTTCTTTGCTGTCACATTTGAAACAATAATGTGCATATATACATGCTTAGAGAGTGCTTTTTGAGATGTGATTCAATTATACGGACAATTCATTTATCCGGACGATTTCGTTGGGGACAGAGGCGTCCGGATAAATGAGGCGCCACTGTATATACATATCTGGAAGTTTTTTTAAAAGAAAATAATATACATACTGAATTTTTTAAATATATGTAAAACAAAATCATATTTCAGTATTTAAACACAAGAAAATAGCAAAAGTGTGTTGTATATAGCATAAATCTATTATATTTCTTACTAACAAACCCTGTTAAAGTATAACTTTTGTTGTGATCTGATAGCTCAAATAGTTTTCAATGTTTTACATTGAAGACTGTTTGGGTTATCATGTCACAACAAAAGTGTTGGCTGGACAGGCTGATGGATGGATTCCAACAGGGCTGCCATATTACAATTACTGCCTGATATTCTTGAATTCAGGCTTACTACTACTGACAATTGTCACCATAAAATTCATAAAACCTATATCACATGACATTTAAAGGATTACAAACCTCATGGCACGTAGTCCAACTCGATAGGCCAAGTTCTGGTCATATGTTAGTAGACTGTTGAACAAAAATTTGGCAAATGTGTGCATAGGGTAACTCTCTGCATGTATGCCTTCTCCTAAACCTGAACCACTGCCACCTACAAAATTTTATATCATATTGCAAATTTTAAACCACTCCCACCTACAATTTTTTTTTAGATATCATATTACAAATTTTGCCATTTTTGAATTCTCTTAAAGCTTTGTCATTGTAAAATCTCCACAAGCACATACCCAGGAAGACCTAGGTAGTAATACAGTGATTTTTTTTCTAAGTGAGAGAAACTTAACCTTTAAGCAGTAAATCAGCTTGTCGCCTCATGACCTCCATAAGAGATGTGTCCAGTTCCACACTTTGTAACCGTGATAACAACTTTTCCTCCTGTTTACACGCCTTCTCCTGTGCATACAAACCTGATGGCATTTGTCTTTGCTGACCAAGACCTGTAAAAAGAATATTTTACGTAAACAAGTAAATGGGTTTTTTTTAGCACAAATGCTGCTTACACCATTCTTTGAATAATAATCATCTACATTTCATATCGACTTCTGTATGCAAAAAATTCTTTGTATTCAATGGTCAAGCCACATTCTACGTTCTTTAAACTGTCCTACATTGTCCCTTTCCACAAGAGCACATATGATGTAATTTATCTAAGTTGTTACAATACCACTTCTTTCAGCAGGATTTAAGCATCCACATAAAATGAACCCTGCACGGTGTATATCCCCCACCCATTCCCAAAACATAATGTCATAATAACAAGCACTCGGGGAGTATTGCTTATCCAGTCTCCTATGGCAAGTGTTATCTGAGGGACAGTGAGGTCAAGGTCACAGGGATGGTTAGGTCAGAAATTATTAAATAGTAGAATAGCTCTCATCACTTTGTACTACTATATGAAGTTTAATGAAAATATCTTGAATAATTTCTTTAAAATTGAGTTTTAAACTTGAAAAGAAATAGTAAAGTCAAAGGCCAAAGAGAACATCAAGATAAAAAAAATTGGACACAATTTCCAAGGAACACATAGTTCAGTAATTCTTGAGAAGAAGATTTTTAAAGATTTTTCTATATATTTCAATGCAAAACTTTCATTCCCTATTGTGGCCCCACGCTACCCTCAGGGGCCATGATTTGTACACTACCTCAGGAAGCTTCCACATAAGTTTCAGCTTTCCTGGTCCAATGGTTCTTGAGAAGAAGATTTTTAAAGATTTTTCCTAAATATTTCAATGTAAAACTTTCATTTCCTGTTGTGGCCACACCCTACCCCTGGGACCATGAATTGAACAATTTAGAATCTACACTACCTTAGGAAATCCATATAAGTTTCAGCTTTCCTAGTCCAATGGTTCTTGAGAAGAAGATTTTTAAAGATTTTTCCTATATATTTCAATGTATAACTTTGATTCCCTATTGAGGCCCCACCCTACCCCTGGGGGCCATGATTTGAACAATTTAAAATCTACTCTATCTTAGGAAGCTTCCACATAAGTTTCACCTGTTCTGGTCCAAGTGGTTCTTGAGAAGATTTTTTGATAACCCCACCCTATTTTTGCCTTTTCTTGATTATCTCCCCTTAGATGGGGTCTTGGCCCTTCATTTTAACAATTTAGAATCTCTTTCACCCAGGGATGCTTTGTTGAAAATGTTAAAAGTTTACAGACGGATGGACAGACAGACAGATAGATGGATGCCGGACAACAGGTGATCAGAAAAGCTCACTTAAGCTTTCAGCTCAGGTGAGCTAAAAACATGGATAGTATAAGACTGCAATAGAATCTGACAATCAAAGAAAAAATGGTTCTCAAACCTCAAATGAACAAGAGATGTTTGTGAAACAGTCATCCCCCCCCCCAAGAATTGGAATTTTTCTAAGTCCAAGGGGCATAACTCTGTCAAAATTGCTCAATCGTACCCAAAACAGAACTTGACCTATATATTCTTATGATAAATCTGTATACCAAATTCCATTTCAGTATATGCAACCTCTGCAAAGAAAATGAATGGAAACTGCAAATAATTCGAATTTTTCCAAGTCTAAGGGGCATAACTCTGACAAAAATTGCTCGATCATACCCAAAACAGAACTTGACCTGGATATTCTAATGATAAATCTGTATACCAAATTTCATTTCATTATGTGCAACCTCTGCTAAGAAAATAAACAGAAACTGTTGGTGGGCGAACAGACCGACCGACCAACCGAAAGCAGCAAAGCAATACGCCCTCTCTTCTTCAAAGGGGGGCATAATAATTAAACTAAAATTATTAGAAATGAAAGAAAAAGTGAGCAAGCTCACATACCCCACGCTTCCCCAAAAATCGACAATGCAACACGTAATGAATGGCACAGTGCATTTTAAATACACAGTATAATTCAAAAAAGGGGCATTACTTGCAAAAAATCATGACATCAAAACTTCTTGCATATAAGGACATTCAAATCTTTGTATGTTACAAATTTAACTGGGCTGAAGTTTCTAGATAAATAATGGAATCAAAATTTCTTGGTAATATACAAATCTATACATTATTCTGAAATACCTACAAAGTTTCAGGAAATTCAGTGCCGGAATTATGCTGACAAACTGTTATTTAAATTCCTCAGTGATTTCGATTTGTTAATGAGTGTAAGTCCATGTCCAACACATGACAGTTTACACATTTAAATAATTGATGGAAACAAAATTATGATGTAGTCATATGAATCTGTTTATATACTGTACTTATGAAATTATTTACGGCAAAGCACACCAATTTGAAGGGGGGGGGGGGGGGGGGGGGAGAGAACTATCGAAGATGGTGTGTGTGTGAGTGTGTGTTTGTGTTAAACCATTAATGTTTTGATCTCAAAATCAATAGGGGTCTTTTAAGGTCATAAAATATTTCACATAGAATTTCATTATAAAAAGCTGATTCCAGTGGAGTTTCTTATTACCTAGCTGGAAAGATTCTTCAATAAAAGGCAAAACTCGTAAGGCAAAAATAATGGAATCGGAATTTCCTGGTAATATGCACATCTACACACTGTGTACTAAATATCTGCAAAGTTTGTTCAAATTCTGTGCAGTGGTTTAAGAGGAGTTGTGCTGACAAACTGTTCATCTCTATATTCAAGATATGGCCAAAAACCTAAGTTGAAAAGTGCCGAAATTCCCAGAAAAAATAATGGAATCAGAATTTCCTGGTAATATGCACATCTACACACTGTGTACTAAATATCTGCAGAGATTGACCAAATTCTGTGCAGCGGTTTAAGAGGAGTTGCGCAGACAAACTGTTCATCTTTATATTGAAGATATGGCCAAAAATCTAAGTTGAAAAGTGCCGAAATTCCAAGAAAATATAAAGGAATCGGAATTTCCTGGTAATATGCACATCTATACATTGTGTGCTAAATATCTGCAAAGTTTGACCAAATTCTATGCAGCGGTTTAATAGGAGTTGTGCTGACAAACTGTTCACCTCTATATTCAAGATATGGCCAAAAACCTAAGTTGAAAAGTGCCGAAATTCCCAGAAAAATACGGAATCGGAATTTCCTGGTAATATGCACATCTACACACTGTGTACTAAATATCTGCAAAGTTTGACCAAATTCTGTGCAGCGGTTTAAGAGGAGTTGCGCTGACAAACTGTTCATCTCTATATTCAAGATATGGCCAAAAATCTAAGTTGAAAAGTGCCGAAATTCCCAGAAAAATAATGGAATCGGAATTTCCTGGTAATATGCACATCTACACATTGTGTCCTAAATATCTGCAAAGTTTGACCAAATTCTGTGCAGCGGTTTAAGAGGAGTTGTGCTGACAAACTGTTCATCTTTATATTGAAGATATGGCCAAAAATCTAAGTTGAAAAGTGCCGAAATTCCAAGAAAATATAAAGGAATCGGAATTTCCTGGTAATATGCACATCTATACATTGTGTGCTAAATATCTGCAAAGTTTGACTAAATTCTGTGCATTGGTTTATGAGGAGTTGCGCTGACAAACTGTTCATCTCCATATTCAAGATATGGCCAAAAATCTAAGTTGAAAAGTGCCGAAATTCCAAGAAAAAATAAAGGAATCGGAATTTCCTGGTAATATGCACATCTACACATTGTGTCCTAAATATCTGCAGAGTTTGACGAAATTCTGTGCAGCGGTTTAGGAGGAGTTGCGCTGACAAAAAAACAGGACTGACGGACTGACTGACTGACACACTGACTGACTGACTGACACACTGACTGACTGACTGACGGACGGACGGGTCAAAAACATTATACCTCACGCAACTTGTTGCGTGGGGTATAATAATTATTCATCAATTGATTAGTGCATGTTTTTAATAATCTTCCAAAAGAGATTTCAGTCTGTCTTTACTGCAATTGTCAGTCTACTCGATCCATTGTCAAATACTGATCACGATGTATTTTCAAAGTATTCAAATATAAGTTTGTATGGTAACTGAATATCATACATTTTCAAAGTACAGTATCATGAGCTCATAAACATGTATAAATGCTGATTATCAAATCCCTCTTCTAAAAATTTAAAAAACATAAGTAAAATCAAACTGTCAAGGGAATTTTTTGAAAAGTTAGTCAAAGGTCAAGTAGATTGTAACACTGGTATTTTGCATAATGTTTTAGGACAAACAGTGCACCTGCTAAATAGCATAAACTTACCTCTTAAATGTCAGAATATGCTGAACTATTTTGAAAAGTATGTCAAGGTCAAAGGCCACAAGGGTGGTAACCATGGTAATTTAAAAAAGCCATAGTGCCATGCAATATATGAAAAAATATCAAATTCATACCTCTTACAGTTCTTGAGATATAAGGTGTGACAGACAGACAGACACCAAGTAAAGTGATTCCTAAGTGTCACTCTGATCTGCAGGCGACACAAATATATCTTTAATAGTTTCTTTGACACTGATTTAAATGCAAAATAAAGAAAAGTATGGTCAAGATCATAGGTCAGGGTAAAAAAATTTGATGCAGTTGAGTAGCTCTCATCAATATGTATCAGTACAGTCAAACCTCATTATCTCAAACTCGATGGGACTGAGAAAAAACTTTGAGATATCCGAGGATTCGAGATATCGAGGGTAAAATATTTAAAAAACAAGTGGTTGGGACTTCCAAATCACTTTGACATATCCACAGTATTTGAGATATCAGTGTTTGAGATACCAAATTCAACTGTATATAAAGTTTGATAAAAAAATCTTAAAAGTATCTTTGAAACTGAGCTAAATGCAAATATAAGATTAGTAATATCAAGGTGAAAGGAAAGGTCAACGTCAATTTTTTTTGCATTTTTTGCATTTGGATAGCTCTCACTAATATGAATCAGTGTATTAAGTTTGATAAAAATATCTTGATTGGTATCTTTGAAAATGAGAAAATATGCCCTGTCATATTCATGGTGGGACATGAAAAAGCTTAATCTGCAACTGTGCATCAAGCAGCAGTATATAAAAAATTTGAGTGTTATATCAGACATTGTGATTCCAGTATACCCCCAATACTTTTTTACAGAGGTTAAATAATACAAATAATTTCTGCTGATGGAGTTATAAAATTTAGTGGCAGATTTTGTGCAATTTAAGGTTCAATCAAAACATGGCCAGTGCAAAACAATACTTGAAACACCATTTATTTCACTAAATTCCTCAACACTTGGTCTGAATGTATTTCAAAGAGGAATAGCTGTGCACCTATTGTTTTAATTTCTCTGAAATGTATTGAGCGTTGATTTTTATGTGTGCTGTAGAGGAGGAAATGATTAGCTCCAGCAGTTTATTTTTTTTAAGGACCTGTTACATTTTGATGAAAAGCAATTTAAGCCAACCAAACAGTGGTGAAACATGATCATAATTTGACTTGTTATGTTTAAAAAAGAGAACAATGTAAATACAAATACAATTTCTTTTCAATGAAATACTTCAGACAGCCTGCACAGCTACAGAAGTGTAGAGATATGAGTACAGGAAAAGAAACATTTACATAATAGATTGTACAGCTGTTCAATTCTACATAATTGTACCAAGAAAGAAGACTGTACTACATGTACTATAAATCTATAGATAAGCATATACAAACCTGACTGCACAGTTAAATTAACAAGGTCAACAGAAAATGTTATCACAAACTTGACAATACAGCATTAGAAACGTAATAAAAGAAAATAATTTACAAACCAGGCTTGAAATGTACTCTTAAACCTACTCATAGAGCTTTGAAAGACTACATTATATAAATGCAACCTTCAACTGGCATTTCAACATCTTTAAATAAGTACATGTACTTACAAACCAAACCCTACCTCTACTACTTTAAAAATCAACAGAAATAAGTCAATAGATCAGACTGGAGAACCACCACTGGCCTACACTACAACACTTGTCCAGCAAAAAGTTTACAGAGATGCCAGGTTGGTCAGAATCACACAAAAATCTACGGAAATATGCTTGAAAACCAGGCTAAACTACTAAATTGTATTACAGAACAGTTGTATGTCCCCAGTTTTCCAAATTGTATGTTTGTTAATTGTAGTGTGTAGATATTTTATTTGCTTGTGTTGTATATAATAAATTAGTTAACTTAAGCAATATCTTGTTTTGTATCAGTGTCAGCAGTCAAGATCAATGCATTTCTGACAGCTATATTATGAACAATAACTAGTCTATAAATTGTATAGCAAAGTAAATACAAACATTACTAATAACTGACAAAATGTTTAGAGACAATACTCTAAAGCTGTCATAAGTTTACTTACAAATTAGGGCTATTTCTAAAGCCATGGTGAGATACGACTCGCTTCGGTCCTTGCTGTTTGGGATGGGAACATGGTGATATCGAGGAGGTATACAACTGGGATTGTCACCAGAAAACAGTCGACCACTTAGGCTATCTAAATAAATCAGGAATAGTTTTATTAACATGGATTGATCTACAATAGCAGCTTCAGCATCAGATTTTTAATGATTCCTAGTACTGTGGATTCATTTTAATTTGTGGGGGTCAATGTTCATGGGCAAGCAAAATTTTACTTGTTTGTTGGGACATAATTTCGTGGGTTACTTGTTTATATGAGATTCAATGAATCAATATGTTTACAAAATTAACGTTTGTGGGATTGTAAATTCATTGGTAAGGGTGACCCACAAAATTCACGAACATTGGTCCCCCATGAACAATGACGATTCTATAGTAATTTACTCAATCATTTGTGAATTTCTCAGGATATACAAAGGTTGATTTTTTCATTTAGGAAAAAAAAAATTTCTTCCTTCTTTTACTTCCAATTTCAATTTTCACAATTATTTAATATGAATTTATAACTATACAATATTCATGAAGCCTTGAAGTTCTACACAATTTACAAGAAAAAAAATTCTCTGTATTAAATAAGGATATTATAACAAATTAGAAGTATCTGATAAAACTTGACCAGTTTGAATTACAATAAATTAAAAAGAAGCATCTGAACTTGTACCATTTCTTTTGAGAGTTTCAAATATTACAGAATTACGTATTTCGATGTTTTCTCATGTCTTACAAGGTTTTGTTCAAACAATAATAAAAGAGAAGGAGGAGGAGAATTTTGATAGAATTTGACAGATGTCTTTTAATAACTGTGTCAACAACACCTCATGAAAATACATAATTCTGATGTATTCTACCTGTGTATCATGATTTGTATGGTTTATTGCATATAGGTCAAGACATAATATTTGGAAATAAAAGGCTCATAGACCACAATGCTCACCTGAGTCAATTAGCCATGATGTTCTTCATCAGCAATTTTTTTCCCCTGTATATACCTATGTAAAACTCTAATCACATATTGTGGCCCCACCCTACCCTGGAGGTCATGATTTGAACAAACTTAAATCTACACTACCTGAGAATGCTTCCACATTGATATGGCTGTGCTGTTCTTGAGAAAAAGATTTTCCCTATGTACTGTATTACTGTGTATAACTTTGATCCAACCCAACATCCTAGGGTCATGATATGAACAAACATAAATCTATCGTCTATGGACAGATCCTAATTAATATCCCCCACTCTTATACCCTGTTCACACGGAGAGTTTAATTCGAACTAAACTAAGTTACTGCGAATTAAAACTGAACTGCGTTCACACGGGGAATTTAATGCGAATTAGTTTAATTCGCATTAATTTACTGCGCATTAAATTACTTCACATTAGCTTCGTGTGAACGCTAAGAGAAGCTAATTCGAATTAAATTTTGATGCATGCGTAATGGCAAAATTAAGTCACATGCCACATGTCGGTGGTCAGATATAGGTACTTCTGCTATTTTTTTAGTGAAAACAAAGGAAAATTATGTTAATCACTGAAATGTGTACAGACACCATGACATTATGTCATATGGATCTGCTCTGCATAAAGTGACGTGATTTAAAAATGACGTCATAATAGTCTTGCTGAATAGCTTACTGTAGAAATAAAATATTAATTTGCATTAGTTTACTTCGCATTAGCTGTCCTGTGAACGCAATTTAATTCGCATTAGTTTACTTCGCATTAATTTACTTTGAATTAAACTCTCCATGTGAACAGGGCATTAGTGAAAGCAAGGGACAAATATGTGGAAATTTTACACAAACACACAACAGATGAAGGACAGACAGGCAAAAAATCTTTGATCCAAAAAACTCACAAAAATTTACGGAAGTATAATTTCATCTTTTCTTTATAAATAATAAAAAAAAAATCTGAATTCATGAGTAAATGAATCCTTACACTTTTCCCTCAAATTTGAATTCTTACCTGCTTGAGAAGTATCCTCTGTGTCTATGGAAGCTTCAGTAAGGCTGTCATACAGAACACCTACAGGGTCCAGGGCATGCCCAATCCAGCCTTCCATGTTGTTCCTGACCTTGTGTGTACAGCCTTTGCTTGTACTAGGCATATCTATAATTGTCATCATCAGTATTTGATATTTATTTTCTTTAATTTGTTTTATTGAAGAGACATTACCAAAGCAAGTAAATGTTAGTAACTTAGTACCTTCATTTTGACATCTGCACCATTCCTGATTTACCCTCTGCTGATGTTTAAGAGATCGCACAATAGCTACAGCTAGTCGTAAGGACTCTTTAACATAACCATGTGAGCGCAAGGCATCAACTCGAGCACAAGCAGTTGGGAAGTGTTCTATAAAAAAAAGTCTTAAATTGTCATTTTTACTCATCCAAGCAACTTGACCTTTTAAGCACCTTCACCCCTTTTTTTCAAATTAATCACACCTTCTTATGATTCCATAAACTGGTATATCACATTAAATACATTATTTTTGAATTTGTAACAATGCCATATTCTATACTTTTTCACTTATACTGTACAACTTCCCTTTGAGTTCAACATTTTGGATTCTGGCACAAAATGTCATTTTCAATGTGAAGTCATGTTTTCATATGAATTTATCTAATCTATGCATGCTTTTTTTCAGAGACCAAGACCTACTAGTAATCATGATTCTTTTGTTGCTCTATTAGGTAGAGGTCAACTTCTGTCTCTCAACATCAGATATGTCAACAACCTGCAATATGTCAATGTCCATTCGTGGTCCTAGCAGTATTTACTATGATCATATAAATGATTTGCAAAAAATTGGATATGCTGACCTTGGTAATGTCGCCTACCTTGCTTATCTCAAATCATCTCAACAGTCCCAAAGTAAAATTTACCTGTTATATGTCGTCATCAGTTCAATTTTCTGCTCTGGTAAACCAGTTTGCCAGACAGTCACTAGTCATTCACCAACAACTCTGTGTATCTCAACATCGCAAGAAATTCAAACCTATGTTTTGACTGTGCACTGCCTACTTTATTCTATAGACCGTGTTTGTAAATAAAGCTTCAGTACCCTCGAACATCTATGACATGTTAATTGTTACAACAGCTTAGGTAATATCATTGATAAATCCACTTATACAGACCTGTATTTATCATATGCTATATTGAAGCCTTTCAAAATGGCAACTTTATTACAATGAGTAACAAAACAATGAATCCAATTCAAATATGTTAGAAAGTGAACGATTTATTCTGTGATATTTTGTGGTAAAAATGCATCCCAATCAACGACACATTCAAACTGTGATTAATTAAAAAAGCTGTGGTTCATACATATGTAACATCACTGCATTAGTTCAAGTACACAAATTTGTTTTTGAATGAGTTTTCTTTCTAAAATAAAAGAAGAAATATTCATTTGGTTTAATTTTTTTACGTGTCAAGGGGTGCGGACTTTGAAAATTTGAAGATTAAACAGCACATTTCCTGTTCTGATAAAAAGCAAATATTACATGCAGAATGCCTGATGGAAAACATTCTATAAAGTCAGAAAGCTTTTGATATGGAGAAAGAATAAGATTTATATGTTTTCAATTTCTTCTCAGATTTTTTATAAACAAAAATAGGAATTGTTGAAATTTAGCCAAATTACTGACTACTGAATTCATGTACGTAATAAACAAGGCCTTTTCATTGTTTCGCTTTGCAATGAAATACAGGACGCTTATTCTCATCTCTGATATTTTGACACCCAATACATGTCGACAATTTCCGATAGTTGTGGCGATGTCAAGATACTGAAGTTTACCTGTAAGTTTATTCAGTAAAGCTTTGATAGTGTCCCATGTGATGTCACCATATCATGTGACTTAAAGACTCTATAAATGGCACAATGGAATCCTAATGTCAAAGGGTTCTCAGTTTATGGCCTAAACTATATTTTGATGTAAAAGATTGACCTTTACTTTATAAATGGGTCAAGGTCAAAAAGTCTCCCCACGTTCATAATTTGAAGTCTTTTTAAATTTCAAAGTGTTCTCAAGTTACAGTCTGGACAAAATTTGGTTGAAGATTGACTGACTGATTGATTGTATGTTGTTTTACGTTCCATGTGAGAATTTTTACTCACATTGAGATATACCAGTGAAGGGCTTCAAATTTAGACTCTTACTTGGCACTCATGGCCATTGAGCAGTGAGGGATCTTTATCGTGCCAATGCCTGCCATGACACAGGGTCTCAGTTTTTAAGGTCTCATCCCAAGGACCCGCAACTTTCACTTCAAAGTGCCAAGCGCTTGGCGAAGGAACAGTTGCTACCTATTTTTTATTGAGGTCAGTTGTGGCCGAGATTCGAACTCACGACCTTCTGATCATGGAGCGAGCGTTCTACAGACTGAGATACCGTGAAGGTTTGGTTGAAGAAGAAAACTAACAAAAACAATGTCTCCCCTTTGAAGGGAGCTTCTTGCCTTCTAGCAACATTGAAGGGGGCAAAAATGGAATGGGGCAAAAATTTCCCTGTATACAGTATTTTAATTCTTGGACCAAGGGCTGCAATAATAATGAAATTCTTATTTGAATGTAAATTACAACAGTTTTTTTTTTTTTGGGGGGGGGGGGGTCTTTTGTTTGTTTTTGTTTTATTAGGACAACTCCTTAACATGTTAAATTACCAATCGCTTTAATATGTATATCACTTGATATTTGTGTATGCATGTATGGAGAAAGTGCCTGTTGCCTATTCCACAGATTTATGGGTGAGTACCTTCCTTTCAAGTTTTACATATATAATTGTCAGTAAACATCACACACGTCCCTTTGTGACCTTAATCTTAGCAGTTTAAATCTAATACACTACAGCAATAACAAAACTTAATAATTATATTAATCACAGTGTTTTCCCCCAACTAGTTCAGTCTCATTTTGATACTTACCATGCCACATAGGACAGTCTGGATAAGCAGGGTCCTGTCTTAGGATCAGTTTTAAATGAGAGTCATGCCACTTCAACTTACTGGCTTCCAATGCCCTATGGAAAATGGTTCGTGGTTTACGGGAAAAGGGGGCTACAGATATAATCAGAAATCCAGGTTTATTCATGATTTATCAATTTATTTAAGAAATACAACAAAAAAATCAGTAAGTTCATCCCTTCATTCTGCAAGTATTTAAGTTTACAACTTATAAACAAATTAGGAAAACTGAGACACAAAGTCCTTTAAAAAAGCCCTCAAAAAACCTTGTTATCTCAAACTTGGCGGGACTGATAAAAGCTTTGAGATGCCCAAAGATTTGAGATATTGAGGTTAAAATACATCAAGAAATAGTAGCTGGGACTTCCAATTCACTTAAATATCCATAGTATTCCAGATATTGATGTTTGAGATACTGAAGTTCATGCAGCTGTATCTATTAACATTGCAAAAGCAAATTTCAAGTATCAATGGCAATTCAAAGCTGTGATACATCTTTCAGGAAAACTTACAGCTACTGTCATTGCTGTTGAGGAGGAGATCAACATTGAGGACATCTGGATCCTCTAGAGGACACACATTACAGGAGGACCACTGGTCCAGTAGGCTCTGCCAATAGGAACGCTCACTACTAGAGCAGTTGGGATTCAGCACCACACACACCCATAATGCACCTAGAAACATTAATAGGCTTACTTACCTATACATTCCAATATTTCATCTATCATGAAATTATTTTTTTTAGCATAATTATTCAGAACAAGATGTATTTGTAACCATTTCTAATTAACTACAATGAATTGATGGGGTTGTCACAAATTACAAAACAAAAACATAAAACTGTAAAAGTGGATGGGCCTACTGCATATGTGGTTGAAAAGTTTCCCTTTTATTTAGCAGAAACATGCCACATATGCCTTATACTAAATATATGAATGTACCTACCTCGTTGTAATAATATTAAAGGACTATTCATGAGAAATCTTGGTGCCCTCTCAATAATACAACTATTTGTTAACGCACACATAAAATTCAGTTTACATCAATAGTCATGAATTCGAGCTGTAAACTGCACTAGTCTATATAATTACCAATTAATGTCCTGTGATTTCTTCAGAAAAATGGGTGACTTAATCTGATGAGGAAATATTATTGCTTTCATATATATCCAAAACTCTACCAAATATAGTGTCTTAGGTCTTTGGTTCAAAAGTTATAAGGAAGGTTAATACAGAATGATAGTCAGACTGGACAAAAACAATATACCCCCTGAATCTTTGATCTTGAGGCAAAAAAAAAATAGTTTAATCAGTTTTTCTTTTATAGTATCATGCTTTACACAATTAGTTCTGATAAATATTATTCTATTGAATAATAAAATCTGACCTAATTCGTCCCATAGTTGTCTGCACTTGTCAGACATTGGTTGTTGTTGAGACTTCCACACAACAAGACGAGGGTCTGCAAGGAACTGCTCAGTAATCAGAGTTAACATTCTAGCACCATTGGAATCTCGAGCACGCAACATTTCACGAACCTGAGAGATATTTTCGAGTTTAGCAGGATTCAAAATGCATATTTTCAAAGAACTGAAATGTTTCAATTAAACATACATGTAGCTGACACATGGCATTTAAATGTTTAAAGTACTATAATTTACTATTTTACATTTATAATGTTCTTTCTAACTTTTTAATATACACTTTTCAAAATATTTTTCACCTTTATCAAAAAAAAAAAAAAACCCAACTATGCCTAACTCATGTAAAGCAAGAGCTAGAAGCTCCTAGAACTGAGATCTAGTGAGTACATATACGTATATGCAACGTACACAATTACCTTGGCAAACATAAATGTAAGCTGGTTGGCCATGTTAAGATAGCCCCCCTGGGATAAGTAGCACCGGACAGTTTCTCTGACCTGATCTTCATCAAGATGCCAGCTATTGTCATCATCCACCGAGGCACCAGCAGTGGGGTCAGGAGCACCTACAATCAGACAGGTATTAAGTGGGTGTGGCACATGGGATAACAATTTGACCAGTAGAAAGTAACGTAATTTGTCCATTGACCTTGACCTTTAATTTATGATACTAATTCAGGTTATGACATACTTTACCTTAAAGTCCCTTGTCTGATTGAGACACATATTTTTCTTATACAATAAATGGACATGTATATGTACATGTATACTTAAAATATATATAAAAATAAATCATGTTTTTTTGGTTAACAACTATATTTATAAGAGAAAGCTCAGTCATAAACCATGTTGACAAAACATACAGGCTATGGACATGTGACTTCCATAAGCTAAACAAACCCCAAGATGAGAAACACATGAAATTACCATTTGAGATATTTTATATCGTGTTCTGAATTGCAAGTTTAGCCCTGACGATTCCCCCAGGTACTTCCCTGTGTGCTTTCCTATATAAATATGCCCTTTCGGTCTTATTTCCAGCGGGTTTTTTTTCAGATATTTTGGACTACCATGTATTCGTTTGACTTCTAATGTTCAAATTTGTTTACAAAGCCACTGTGCACGCGCAAGCTTTGCATTCTCTCTTTTTTTGTGTGACCCAACAAAATTTACTTTTTTGAAATTTAATATATTAATATCTTTTAAAAAACACTGACGCTGAAAATATAATTTTACAAAAGTGGAAACTTTCTATGGAGAATTATTTTTCACAAACAACCAGAAATATTTTTAAACATAACAATTGGATGAATTAAAGCGACTTTAAGGTCATAATCAACTTTATGCTCAAGTCTAGCTTCATTACAAAGGAACTAGAAAAAGCTACATCTCAGATATGATTTCAGTGGTGATATTTGATCAATGTCCTTATATATGGCATGACATCATCACATACAAATTTGAATTTATTCAGACAAGAAATTGTTCTGAAATTAAACCCATATACAACTTTGTACCAGACAGGAAGACAGTACATTTTTTCCAGTTCATAAAAGTAAGGGGGTGGGTTACAATGCACTATTTACATTAGTTAAACTGTAACTGAGTAAAGAGCCTGAAGGTAGGGCTATGAATTTTACAATTCAGGTAGAATGAGGGTTCATTGTTTGTTATAATCATGCCAACTGATGGTCTTGGCCACACCCCCATCTACATTACCTGAGGATGCTTCCATGTAAATATGACCAATCACGGCTTTGCTGTTCTTGAGAAGAAGATTTTTAAAGATTTTTCCTATATATTCCTATGTAAAACTTTGATCGCCCATTGTGGCCCCACCTGACCCCCAGGGGTCATGATTTGAACAAACTTGAATCTACAGTACCTGAGGATGCTACCATGTAAATATGACCAATCATGGCTTTGCTGTTCTTGAGAAGAAGATTTTTAAAGATTTTTCCTATATATTCCTATGTAAAACTTTGATTGCCCATTGTGGCCCCACCCGACCCCCAGGGGTCATGATTTGAACAAACTTGAATCTACACTACCTGAGGATGTTTCCACATAAGTTTCATATTTTCAAGCACAGTGGTTCTTGAGAAGAAGATTTTTTAATGATGCCATTAATTTTTCACAAATTCATAATTATCTCCCCTTGGAAGAAGGCGTGGCCCTTCATTTGAACAAACTTGAATCCCCCTTACCCAAGGATACTTTGTGGCAAGTTTGGTTGAAAATGGCCCAGTGGTTCTGGAGAAGAAGTCGAAAATGTGAAAAGTTTACAGACGGACAGACGGACAGACAGACAGACAGACAGATGGACTACAGACAAAATGTGATCAGAAAAGCTCACTTGAGCCTTCGGCTCAGGTGAGCTAAAAATGATATCCTTTTTAAAACAAAAAGTTGTAAGTTTCCATGTCTTTATGGAGAAGTCATTGTACCACTGAAACCTTCACTTGTACTCCTTCAAACAAAGCCTTATTATGGACATTGTATCAATATGCATAATTGAATTTCCTTGCATACAATTTCATTGATTGAATCTCCATCACAAGTAACTTTAGATCACAATTTGAAAGAAAATGGCTGTGTACATCAAACAAAAGGCCCATGGGCCACAGCGCTCACCTGAGTAACTTTGGCCTTGCTGTTTTTCACCTGATTTCTCTCACCCCCCCCCCCCAAGTACTTATTGTGGCCCTGCCTTACCCCCGGGGGTCATGATTTGAACAATTTAGAATCTACATTACCCCAGAATGCTTCCACATAAGTTTCAGCTTCTCTGACCCAGTGGTTCTTGAGTAGAAGATTTTTAAAGATTTTTCCTATATATTTCAATGTAAAACTTGGATTCCCTATTGTGGCCCCATGATTTGAACAATTTAGAATCTACACTACCCCAGGATGCTTCCACATAAGTTTCAGCCTTTCTGGCCCAGTGGTTCTTGAGAAGAAGATTTTTAAAGATTTTTACTATATATTTCAATTTAAAACTTGGATTCCCTATTGTGGCCCCGCCCTACCCCCGGGGGTCATGATTTGAACAATTTAGATTCTACACTACCCCAGGATGCTTCCACATAAGTTTCAGCCTTTCTGGCCCAGTGGTTCTTGAGAAGAAGATTTTTAAAGATTTTTACTACATATTTCAATGTAAAACTTGGATTCCCTATTGTGGCCCTGCCCTACCCCTGGGGGTCATGATTTGAACAATTTAGAATCTACACTACCCCAGGATTCTTCCACCTAAGTTTCAGCCTTTTTGGCCCAGTGGTTCTTGAGAAGAAGATTTTTTAATGACCCCACCCAATTTTTGTATTATTATTGATTATCTCCCCTTTGGTGGGGACTTGGCCCTTCATTTTTACAATTTAAACTCCCCTTCACTCAAGAATGCTTTGTACCAAGTTTGGTTAAAATCGGCCTAGTGGTTCTTGAGAAGAAGTCAAAAATGTGAAAAGTTTACAGAGGGACAGACAGACGGAAGGACGGACAGATGACGGACAACCGGTGATCAGAAAAGCTCACTTGAGCTTTCAGCTCAGGTGAGCTAAAAAGGTAAGAATTATCATGATATATTAAAAATCAAAAGCCTGAAAGGCTTCAATGACGTCGAAGAAGAAAAACAATTTCAAAAGATCATTTTGAATTTGAAGGTAGCAATAAGTCAAGTGAGTGACTCAGGAGACATAATAAAAAAATAGTTTAAACAAAATATCACAATTACAGTCTGGGGCCTTATGTCATGGTCCGAATGGAGCAGGGTTCGAATTGACCAGACACCGTCGAACATGTTCATGCTAAATTCTTTTCAGTCAGTTGAAGAACTATGAAGGATTTCGTGAATTTATATAATATTTTTTTCTAATTGCCAATGTCAAAGCATTGTATTAGTGATTGCATCTAAACTACAACCAAGCCTCTAGTCTGTTAAAATTACGATCGAGTTACGATCGGGCGTGGTATACGGTATACTGGGAAATGGAGGAAATGGAGAAATACAGCAATACTGGTCAATATCATCGGTTTTTAGGATAGAGTTGGTTAGAAGATTGTATAAGTAAAGCTAAGATTTAGAAATTCAATCTTTTTAGTCTTGAAGTATTCGTGTTTATGTAATTTTGTGATTATTTTACCTCCTGTTGTGTTGTTTTACGGTTATCGTTCCGAAATGTTATTCATGTCATTCAACGCACCTTTTCTATAGAAATTCATCCGCAACAACCATCACGTTTTTCTTGTGTGAGAATAAAATATAATATTGTTGTTTTGCAATAGAATTAATTGCGGATATAATTGATGCAATTTTATTTTCAAGCTATTATTCATTTTGAGCGTTTTCAAAGAAATTGGTTTATACTTATTGCTATTTTCTATTGCGGATGCATCGACTGACACATTCGGTCGCGTACATATCCGGTCGCGATTTCAACTGGGCGCTTGCTAGATGACGTTCGAGCTCCAAGAGCTCGACGTCATAAAAATACCCCCCTAGGCGTTAGATATCTTATGGCTGAATAATTCATTGGTCTCTTCCATAAAACTTTGACTGATTTTAGTTAAAAGCCTTAAAGTTCTAAGACCAATATTTTTGTATTGAATTCTTCAATAATTTTAGAGAATTTTAGAGATTAAAACTTGGCAACATAAATGATGTATACTTTAACGTAGTACAAAACACCCATGAACTCATTTCTTATAAGTATACTAGAAAAAAAGAATATAAATATCACTATAATGTCAATAATTAATAAGTTGTGACATGTTTCTTGTCATATTTTGTTTAAAAAAAATTAAGAGAATCCTATATATTTGTCATTCGAGAGCCTACATTTTAGTATGTGTTCATGCCATCTACATGCAATATGACAGTGTTATTTAATGCACAGCAACTTTTGATCCAACTTTAGTAAAGACCTGATATTTGGACATATTTATGAGGAGTCTCGATGCTTTATAAACAATAAAGGTCAAGGTCATATTTAGAGGTCAAAGGTCAAATATTGTGATCTACCGATTCTTTTAATTTTTGCATTGGATATTTTTTTTTAGATCGGCAAAATATCTGAAACTGTAGGTTCAATGTTCCTCATTTTGACACATTTTAATCTGAGTTCTATTTCAATCATTCTGTTGATTTTTTGTAAAAATTTAATTAAAATTTTTTTCTTAAGAGAACTTAAGGTGTAACATATTTACATGTGAATTTTCAATTCCTGGGCTATGTATATTTTAATTTTTTATCACATTTTACTCAAATTTACCAGTATCAATATAATTTACTGAAATTTAGTTACAGAAAGGTTGCATTTATAAAAAGTATCACTCAAATTTGCAATAGATCAATCGGTAATTTTTAAAAAATGCATATTCTGAAGTGCAATGTCTGATTTCACAATCTTCTTACAGGGGGCCGATAGGCCATATTTCAAGCTATGTGGGAAAAAATTGTGCAGTTGAATTTCTTTCAAATTACTTACAAAAAGAGATTTTGTATCCTAGAACAAAATTTCAAAGTTTTAAAAAAATGAATTTGAGGAAAAATTTGGCTTATCTATTGTGTACTACCTTAAGTGATTTAACTGCTGTTGTGGTCTTTTCAACACATTCATCTTTAATTCCTACCTGGTAATAAGTTGATTTCCGATTTTGCACACAGAATTTCATCTGCAATTTTCTGAGATGTTGGCAGGACATCTGTATGGTGCTCAGCTATAAGATACTGAGCAAACTTCTGGAGCTGTTCTCGACTCATTTGTAAAAGAGTTTCTGTAAAGTAAACATAAACTTCAGATTTCAAAAAGCAATGTTCTATTATTAAAGATGGTTCAGACTTTTGTAATTTTGTTGCCCCATGATTGTAACTTTTGTCATTACTTTCTTTTGATGCTGCATTCAATAATGCAAACATTTAATTCTATGCATAACACACTCTTAAGATAAATATTTTTAGGTTACTTTTTATAAAAGAAATAGTTTTAATGAATTCCAAACAGGATGATTTAAAGTGTTTTCCTTAAACATAGAATTGTTCTCTTTACCTGAGATGGGGACTCGAAGTTCAACAGTGTCAGCCCTCCTAATGCGGTATAAGGACAGCGCCACCACATGTTGGCACCAAAAGATATCTTTGTTTCCACATCCACATTTGACAGAGGTAATTTTGCACCTAAAATACAAATCATACAATGATCAATGGGCCACAATGCTCACCTGAGCAACTTTAGTCCTGCTGTTCTTGAAGATTTTTATATTCCCATGAAAAATTGTGACCACATCTCATGGCCCCACCCTCACTCTAAGGGGTCTCTGAATCCACACAACATATGGATGCTTCATATCAACATTACTTAGTGATACAATCATGACCTTGCAGCTATGGAGAAGGAAATTCTTTTCCTGTATACAAGCAATACGTAAAAATTTGATTCTGCATGATTTTAGGCAACTATTACTCGGGGTCCATATTCCATAATTAGAAAAAAAAACCCACACAATTTGGGAATGTTGAAAAATGAATGATTTTTATTGTGGTTCCTGAAAAGATTAAACAAAATTTTTTCTTAAATAGTCTCTTGTAAAACTTTAATCCCCTACTGTGGCCCCATCCTACAACTGGGGGGGCATGATTTGAACAATTTAGAATCTACATTATATTAGGAAGCTTTCACACAAGTTTCAATTTTTCTGGTCCAGTGGTTTTTGAGAAGATTTTTTTTTTTAAACTTCCTATTTAGTAATTTGAAAAAAAAAAACTTTGATCCCTATTGTGGCCCCACTCTACCCGGGGGGGGGGGGGGGGGGGGGGGGGGGGGGGGGCATAATTTGAACAATTTAGAATATACACTACCTCAGGCAGCTTTTATGCAAGTTTCTCTTTTCTGGTCTAGTAGTTTTTGAGAAGATTTTTAAAGATTTTTTCCTCTATATTTTAAAGTATAACTTGGATCCTCTACTGTGGCCCCATCCTACCACCATGGGACAATGATTTGAACAATTTAAAATCTACACTACCTCAAAGTTTTTACACAAGATTCACCTTTTCTGGCCCAGTGGATCTTGAAAAGATTTTTTAAAGATCCCACTTTAATTTTGCCTTTTCTTGATTTCCTATCTTTTGGATTACTAACCTCCTTTACTCAAGGATGCTTTGTGCCAACTTGGGTTAAAATTGGCCCAGCTGTTATTGAGAAGTTGAAAAACATAAAATGTTTACAGATGGATTGACAAATAGATGGATGCCAAACAATATGTGTGATAAGAAAAGTTCACTTGAACTTTCAGCTCAGGTGAGCTAAAAACTGATACTATAATCTGATTTTTATTTTACTATTTTCTTTTCATTATGATTTCTAACAGAAGAATATCTTTCTCAAAACAGGTGTCATCCCTATTTTTTTTTTTTTTTACCTTATCAATGGCCTGATCAAGCTTGTCTTCCAGGTTTGACATTATATGCACTAACCACATGTTTTAGGTCAATATTCTTTATGCATGAAAACTAAGATTAGTGCAAATACATTTATTTTATAAATGAAGATTGTTTGAAAACTAACACAACTGTTCATCATACAGAATTCATTCTCTTCTTGAATTATATTGATATTGATTTTGACAAATGCATGATCTTATTTGTAAAGCAACAATTCCATATCAGTTCTCTGCATGTATTTTTAAGATGTCTCTGATCTGAAGAATCAAACATTTAAGGGGAAATACTCTTTCTGTTTTTCATACTTCCTTTTCATGAATGCTGTGTAGCCTTTTTCAAGTCAGGATTAAAAAATATAAATAAGACGGAAATTCAGCTACACTTAAGTGCTGCCTTAATTTCCTTATGTCCAAATCTCAATTCAGGGAGTAAATGTTGTAAAATCCTGGGAATCTGTTTTATTTTGATTTCATCATATTGTTAGTCCTGATCCCATTACAACGCACACTGAATTCAGCTTTTATTCCGCTGAACTGTTACTGATCAAGGGCAGACAAAATCAATACAAGCAAAACAAGAGATTTATATAATCTCCTGTCACAGGCACATTGTGAAACTTTTGTTCTAAAACAACAAGGGTAAGATAATGTGATATGACAAGTGTCTGATCAGGATTGATCAGAGTAATTATCAAGCAACTTCTGCTGGCCACTGCTTTGTTAATAAGAGGCCCATGTGCCACAATGTTCACCTGAGTAACAATAGCCCTTCTGTTCTTCTTTAGCAGTTCTTTTTTCTATGACATAAAATTTCAATCACATACCATCCCCCCCCCCCCCCCCCTTACCATCGGGGTCATGTATTGAACAAACTTAAATCTACATATCTGACGATGCTTCCATATTATGACTAATCATAGCTTTGCTGTTCTTGAGGAGACAACTTTTATAAAGATATTTCCTATATATGAATTACTTTCATCCCCTGTTGTGCCCCCACCCTATCCCCTGGGGTCATGATTTGTACAAACCTAGATCTATACAATGTAATGAAGCTTTCACATAAGTTTCATCTTTCTGGCTCAGTGGTTCATGAGATTTTTGAAAGATGCCATTAAATTATCACATCACTAATTCTTAATTATCTTCCCTTGAAGGAAGGCGTGGCCCTTCATGTGAACAAACTTGAATCCCCTTCACCCAAGGATGCTTTGCAGCAAATTTGGTAGAAATTAGCCAAATGGTTTTGGAGAAGTCAAAAATGTGATAATTATACAGACAATGCAAAACAGCAGGGTTCAACATTAACTTAAATACCTACTTGTTCATTGACAAGTTGCCGACAAATGTAACTTGTTTGAATGCATTTTTTACTTGTCCAACTTAGCTAGGACAAGAAAGAATAAAAATTGTTTTAACTTTATTATTAACTTTCCAATGTGCAATAAATGTAATCCTCTCTAAATTTGTACCCATAAAAAACTAATGACTAGATGGTACATTTTTATCTGTCATCCACATGGCGCAGTGGTTAGAGCATTTGCTCCAGAGTCACAGCGTAAGGAGTTGATCCTTATGGCACAGGTCTGAATCCCACTGTTGGACGTGGAGACCGATCTTCTGGATGAGACCATATAAACCAAGGTCCTGTGTCGCAGTAAGTGATGGCATGAAAAAGATCCCTCACTGTTCAAAAGGCCGTAAGTGCCAAGTAAAGGTCTAAATTTGCAGCCCTCCATGGCAAGTGGCAAAGTGGCACCCAATATGAGTGTAAAATTCTTGAAGGATGTTAAACAAACAAATAAAACCAATAAATTTTAACAAAACATCGTGCTGATGTGACTTGATACTGTGCTACAAAATGGTCTACATGTACTTGTTCTATTCTCAGTACCCTGGGTATACATTCAATAAAAACCATTGTTTTAATTCATAAATAAGTTGTCAAGTTAAACTCCAACTTTGTAAGGTTCATGACTTAAATGTGTACCTGAGTGACGATTTTTGGTAGGTTCCATTTGCATGCATTCAGTCATTCAAAAATGAACATTAGGTACAATCATTTGTATCTGAAGGACACTATCATTTTAATGATAGAAAAATCTATCTAGTTATTGAAGTTTGCGATTTAAAAAATGAACCACAGCAATTTATGAATTCTGTGGGGATTTTTTTTTTTCAGATTCACAACATTTCCAAATGCTTAAAAAGGTACATGTAACTTGCACTATCTGACAAGTAATAGGACAAGTGTTTGTGGAGATTGAATTGTCCAAACACAAAATGAACTGGATATGACAATCAGACTGAGACAAACATTAAATGTTGAGCCCTGGACAGGCAGAAAAAGGCGCTTGAGCAGGGCTCGACATTAACGCTTGTCCGCTTGTCCAGTACCAGTGAAAAAAAAATATGGACAAGTGAATATTGCTGGGCACTTGTCCGATTGGACAAGTGCATTTTTATGTAAATAAGTCTCTAAATATTTAAAAGAATGACTGTGAAAGTTTACAGGTACTTTAAGACGGAAACAGTACATAAAAACCGAACTTCGATCCCGATATAGATTGCTATGTAATTGAGTACACTCGATCGGGATCGAAGTTCACTAATTGCATACTACTTCAAAGGCATGGAACTGACCAAGTTTGGATTCTGTTTTATGTTGCCAGAGGCCTGTTCAACAGCGCGAACGTTCGCGAGCACTCGCCAACATTTCTGTTGAAAGGATAAGGAATTTAGGCGAGCGCTCACGAACGTTCGCTCTGTTGAACAGGCCTCAGGACAGAAAGTACAGATAAAATTTTGTTTTATTATTTGTTGTATTTATAAATAACATCATGCACATGTAATGGACTTAATTTTTAGTTTTCAGATAACAGTATTAGTTCTTTATTTGAAATTTTTCGGACAAGTGAAGTTTAAGTTCGGACAAGTAAATGTCTTGGTTACTTGTCCGAATGGACAAGTAGGAAAAAAAGTTAATGTCAAGCCCTGTTGAGCCTTTGGCTCTGGTGGTGAGCTAAAAAACATATACAAATTTTATACATGATTCTAATTTGCAGCTGAAATCTTCTCAACTCTGAACATAAAGGATTTCAGCAAGTATTTTAACAATATCTATGAACAGACTTCTAAATGTCTTCAGGAGACTGGATGGTCAACAAATTACCCAGCACATCCACCCAAAATTAAGAAGTATGATTTTCTAGCCAGAAAAAAATATGTTCAAACTACATTAATGCATTTCCCTGAATTTTTAGAGAGATCTCTTTCATGACAAGGAGATAGAGTCTAAAACTGGCCTGAGTACCCAGCCTCTTAATAATCACTGTCCCTAAGTCAGAAGCAAAGAAAATGCAAATTTTATAGAAGTATTTCTGATATCACTACTGGCAATGGAGACACTATAGAAATATACCAAATTAAGTACCTTTTAAATGTTACTACAGTGCTCTTCCTGTGTCAACACATGCTTAAAACCAGAGAAAAACCAAGAGTTGGTACATACAGCTTTACTACTAAGCAATTCATACTCAATTTGTAATATCTAGTTTCAAGTATACAGTACGTTAAAACTGACACAGCCATTACATGGCCATATCCTGCTAGTTTTCGTAACACTTGGATATTGTAACTAAGCTCTTATAACTAATCAGACAAGGAAATTTTCTGTTGATTGTAACATTAAACTTCCTATACAATTAAATATTTCATCAGCTTTCATGTGAGGCACATCTCTAATGTGTGGGTCAAACAACATTATTCAGTTTGTGCAGCATACAAAATTCAGAAAAATTAACCTACATCCATATTCAAAATTATCCCCCCTCTCTCACTTGGTGTATGTGTGGTGGTGGTGGTGGTGGTGGTGGGGGGGGGGGGGGGGGGGGGGCTAACTAAGTAGCATTAATTTAGAGTTTTTAAGTCTAAAGCTATATATGTTCAAATCTTTTACCCTATAATAAAAGGTTCCAAAATCTAAGCCTACATGGTAGACACCTGTGAAACAGCACCAACTGGCACTAAAATTTGTAGTTAAGCTTGATTAAGCTTTTAAACAAATTCATATTATAAAGATCCCAAACAACTATTTTATAGAGTCTTGTGAATGATTTAACTTTCAGTGTTACATTTAAATCAGATTTGGTTTTTATAATCTGAGTCATCCTTGTACTCATTTGAAGGGGATTTACTCAAATTCCATGCAAATGATCAAACTGTTACAGTTGACTGAAATCTAAAGAAGGATACAACATCCAACTGAAAGTCAAACAATTGATATTGTCAGCTTTGTGAACACTGTATACTTAAAAACACTCCTTCACAGGGTTGACAAGCCCCCAAGGGTATTCTAACCAACCACTTTTTGATTACCAATGTATGTTATCAATGGCACTTATAACTGCACAATAATCCCAAGAACAGACTGGTCTGAACTTTTTCATGCATACAAGAACATTGCTCAAAACAGATTCTTCTTTTTTCAATATTTTAAAGTCACAATACCCAAATACACCATGGTCACTTTTTGTTGCCCACACTTAATATGGTCATTCCTTTATAAATTAGTTTCTTTCACCTACAATTGTCCACCTATGCCAATTATTTCTTGGCAAAATGAAGATGACTTTTCAATCAACTGAATCTAACTGTGACTTGACCATCTTCTTTGACAAGGGGGTGCCCAAATATCCAAAAATTAGAGAATGATTGAGTTACTTTCTTCTTGTTATAACCCTACCTGTCAAAGCTGATTGAGACTTGGTAAGGGACATCAGGGTCTGTGGAATACAGGGGGTTAGAGGGCTCTTTCACAGTCCCACTCAAGTGGAAACCTACAAAACAAATCATTATCATAAATCACTAATGTAGTCTAGTATATGTTTTAATATAATATATAATAAAGTATTGCATTTACAAGCATAAAAGCCACTTTGAAACAGGAATGACTTCCTCTTCATATTATCCCATGCATGTTCACCCATAAGTGCTAAGGGGCTTACAAAAAAAGAGGGGTTTATAAGACCTGCCTTGAAGTATACTGGTACACATTTCACACAAGTTTACATTAGTAGGTTTGTAAAAACATAACAACTGTAAGATATATTTTATAATGGTGAATCTGTAATAGCAAACATAAAACTAACCTCTGCTTTGCTTCAAGCTGATGAAAAAGTAATATTTGTGCCAATATTTAAGTCATAGGAGGGGAGGAGGGCATTCACTCTTTACAGAATGAAAAATTATAGGGATGTACCCTAGAACCACATGAATATTCAATGGGGGTGAATTTAATACATATACCTGTATATTATACTATGTTTTGTCTGTGCAAATTTGAATCACAACAAGAGGTTCTGGAGTCACAATACTCACCTGAGTCAACTTAGCCTTGCTGTCCTTCAGATAAAAATTCTTAAAGATTTTTTTCTCTCTTTATTCATATGAAAAATTTTGAAGCCATTTTGTTGCCCTGTCTTAGCCCTAAGGGTATTGATTAACCATTCAATATGAGAATGATTCAATGCCAATATGATTATAAACATGGCCTTGCTGTTCATCAGATTTTTTTGAAGATTTTTTCCTGTAAACATTCTTTTTGTAAAATTTGATCCTGAATTCCCGATTTTACTTCCACCCATCTCAAGGGTCCATAAAATTGAAGAAGATAAAGAAACAAAAATTTGAATCTACCAGGTACAAACAATCTGGGAAGGTATCCAATGCATAAAACACACACAAAAAAATTCTGAAGAAAGTCATGAAAATAATCCATAGATCAAAATAAAAAAAGCATTTAATACCAAGAGATTTTTTTTCAAAATGATCTCAAAATAGAGATGATCGACCTTAAGCAATTTAATATAGAAGCCCAAGGACAAAGTACCATTTTCATTAATAAAATAAATAAATAAATACTTCAAAAAAGCATTTGATCAAGAGTTCCATAAAATTTCATGTTTTAAAATGTATAGGTCACTATGAACAATTTAAAAAAATAATTTTACACAAATTTTCCAAGAGGAAATAATTCTTTTAATTAACATTGAATCAATGTTATTTAAAGGATTGATTCCCTGTTGTGGCCCCAACCTATCCCATGGAGGCCACAATTTGAAAAAAAAAATCATTCTGCACTACATGGTATGTGAGGCTGTATCTGTCAAATGACTGATCACGACCCTGCTGTTCTTAAGAATATTCATAAAAGAAAAAAATTCCAATTATCTTCTCATGCAGAAATCTTTGATTATGCTTGATCCCTTGACCCCCTTTTGTGGCACCCCATCCTACCCCTGGTAGCCATGATTAGAACAAAGTTGATTCTGTACTACCTGAGGATGCTTGCATATTAATTAAACTTATCATTCAAGGCACCCCAGTTCTTGAGATTGATTCATTATGCCCCCGTAATCAAAGATTTGGGGGCATATAGTTTTTGCCCTGTCCGTCCATCTGTCTGTCTGTCTATCTGTCAGTTTGTCCGCAAAAACTTTAACCTTGCCCATAGCTTTTGATTGGTGGAAGCTATGGCTTTCATATTTCACAAGTGTATTCCATGTGACAAGACCTTTCATTGGGTACCATCACATTTGACCTTTTGACCTTGACCTTGGAGTTTGACCCACTTTTGCAAAATTTTTGAGACTTTAACCTTGGCCATAACTTTTGAACACTTGGGGCTTGGGCTTTCAAACTTCACAAGTCTATTCCTAGTGAGAAAGCCTTTCTTTGGATACCAACATCTGTGACCCTTTGACCTTGAACTTGGAGTTTGACTTACTGTTGAAAAACTTTAACCTTGGCCATAACTTTTGAATAGTTTAAGCTAGTTCTTTTATACTTTGCATGTGTACTCCTTTTGACAAGATCTTTCTTTGCACTTTGACCTTTTGACCTTGGCCTTGGAGTTTGACCTACTTCAAATTTGAAAAATTTTAACCTTGGTCATAACTTTTGAACAGTTAGTGCTATGATTTTCATACTTCACATATGCATTCCTTGTGAGAAGACTTTCCTTTAGATACCAACAACTTTGACCTTTTGACCTTGACCTTGGAGTTTGACCTATTTTTGAAAAACTTTAACCTTGGCCATAACTTCTGAACAGTTGGTGTTAGGGCTTTCATACTTCACATATGCATTCCCTGTGACAAGACCTTCCTTTAGATACCAACAACTCTGACCCTTTCACCTTGACCTTGAAGTTTGACCTACTTTTGAAAAACTTTAACCTTGGTCATAACTTTTGAACAGTTGGTGTTAGGGCTTTCATACTTCACATATATATTCCTTGTGACAAGACCTTCCTTTGAATACCAACAATTTTGGCATTGACCATGACCTTGGAGTTTGACCTACTTTTAAAAATTTTTAACATTGGCCATTATATTTGAACGTTTGTTTCTAGGGCTTTCAGATTTCACAATCATGTCTATCACTTGTGACAAGAACTTCCCTTGGGCACCATTTGACCTTGACCTTGCTGTTTTACTTACTTTGAAAAAACTTTAACTTTTCAGCGGTTTGTGCTAGGGCTTTCGTATTTCACAGGTATATTCCTTGAGACAAGACCTTTCTTTAGGTACCAACATTTTTGATTTCTTGACCTGGAGTTTGACTTGCATTTAAGAAACTTTAACCTTCACCATACGCTGCCATACGGGGGCATCAGTGTTTCACAAACACATCTTGTTGTTTCTTGTTTTAGTCATCCCTTGCGAGAATTTTTCACTAATATGATGACATCAAATACTGGCAAGGGGCTTCAAATTTAGACCTACACCATACATGTTAACTCTACCGCTTTAGAGTGAAGTCTACCACTTTTTTACTCCATCTCTTGCCTACCACTTTTCTTCGTAAATCTATCATTTTTCTACAAAATCTATTTATTGGTTTCCTTGGGTAGCCATTTTTGAAGCCATTCTTATTCATAAATCTACCATTCTCTATAAAATCCATTTTTTGGTTTGCTTGGGTAGCCATTTTTTAAGCCACTCGTCATAAAATCTCATTAGATATTGGGTGATTTGAACTGGGATTATTCAAAGGTTTTTTTAATCAATGCTTACACAGATTTCAAGCATGTGTTTGACAACAACAGGTGCACAAACCTCCCGTGATTACATTGGTTACGATAAATATAGTATTCTAGAAGTGGATGAAAACTTTTGACATCGTTCAGTAAAGTAAAAAAGGGAATCAGCATTCATTTATGATACTTTTTTTGCATTTCTACTTTCATTTTTGGTCATCGGGGGAAATCTAATTTTTTTAACAAAAGATTAGAACTAGTTTTAGATCTGAATTAGGCTAAATAATGTCATCATTTGCTGTATTTGACAACTGAATGAACACTCAGAATGATTGCTTCCAGGCTATATATACAAAGATCACTCTTCAAGAGGCTAAATTAAGAAGCCATTCAAAGCCAAAGTAATGAGCATGAAAAATACAGTTGAACTTCAGTATCTCGAACATGGATATCTCTAATACCATGGATATGTCAAAGTGACTGTGAAGTCCTAACAAAGTATTTCTCAAGTATTTTACCCTCAATATCTCGAACCCTCGGATATCTGAAAGTTTTTTCCTCTGTCCCATCCAGTTCGAGATAACAAGGTTTGACTGTATTTATATTTGTATAAATAATTTAAATGTGTTTTTGTCTTCTTCACTGCAGTTGATATTATACAATTAATTACCCCTTATGAGGTCAACATGGTGAAATAAGGACCCGAGACCTGGCCCACTAGGTGACCTGACCTGACCAAGGCCGCGTAGCAGGTCAGAGAGTGGGCTAGGTCGAGGGTCCTTATTTCACCATGTTGACCTCATAACGGGTAATCAATTGTTTAATTATACCGATATCAGTTAAGACAATTTTTGTAGGCTTAATTACTAAAATAATTGTGTATTAGTCCTACGAACTGTTATTATCAGTGTTCCATCGGGATTCGAAGGGAAGTTGTTTACTTTTTGCCTGCAAGTTTTGTAAGTTTTTGCACCGCCGATTTATTAAAACATTCTGTGATTGTCATTAACATGCATTTTTATAAATTCACAAATACCATTCCCGAGTACAATGACAATCTGGTGCAGATTTTTACTGTATAAAAGAGCCGAGTATGCATTTGTTGAATTTGACATTGTAATGAAAGTTTCAATGAAAATGATAAATTTTATGACGCATCTAAAGGCCAATCGTATTCTATATCAATAAAAGACTATTATAATACATATTTTTATATCCGCATTTTTTATAATGAACAATCATTACTGTATGCATAAATTTTTAATTTGAGTGGAATTTTGATTAACAGGTCATATTTAGTGGTCATTATTTATAATGACCGGGTCATTATACCCCACGTGCAATGATTCCTAGGTCATTATTGCAGTAAACGGTATTTTTGGAGTCATTATTGAGCTTAAAAGCCTTCTTACAAGCCAATCAAATTCAAGTATTCTTAATAGAGGTATAATAATTAAGTTTTTAAGGCCAACATTTTTTAATAAAATGATTTACGGGAGCGCCGACTGCAATTTTAGCTAAAACCAAATAAAAATAAAAATTCCTGTTGTTGATTTTATTTTTAAGTTTCCCGCCGATCGTCAATGCAAGTGCACTAAGAAAATAAAATAATGTGCAAATAAGTTGGCAATTCTGATTGGCTGCTTTATTGAAAGCCATTATTATCATCCAATCAATTGACGTTTGTTATCAACTGTTTCACAAGTGTATAAAACGTACAAACATGGATGCAGAAATGTCATATTTTACAAAAGTTGAAAATACTTTGTCCTTGTACATGATAGTTTTTCCAAGCCA